TGGTCCAAACTATGAACAAAACATTTAACGCATTGTGGCTTTCTTTTTTTCTTTATATTAGCATCTACAAATTAACTTTAAAAAAAAATAACTTTTGCAGTTAGCTACTTAATTCCTAAGTGCTGTTAGAAAATGGCACAGATGCAGCTAATCATCCATGCCATTTTTTAAACAAATGTTTATTAAATTTTCACAAAAATACTAACAGAAAAAAACAATAGTGCAAGGGTAAGCACTATACAGTAATCACACTTCTAATACAATACAGTATCCAAATATAAATAGAATTAATAACTTGGTTAGAACTACCTGTACATGTATGTGCTAGGGAATGAGTGGTTATACCAGGATGATGGCTACAGCTGCAGTCATTATCCTGGTATCATTTTTTTAGTGCAAGCAATTCTCTTCTCTGTAAAAGTGATCCAAGTGGCTCTACAGCCACCCAATCACTTTTACAGGGCGTGGAAAGTAGATCCGCTCCCGCAAACACCAGCCTCTGTTCCCAGGCTCTGCCATGCCAACGGGGAACTCATGACCACTACACTTGATTGGGCTGGCTGCAGACAGAGAAGAAGGAACATTCGTCCATCTGTGAGGAATGAAGGCAGAAGTGGTGTATATTATGTCACTTTCATTTTCGGTTGTTTGTTTACTAGCCAAGTGACAGATTAGAAGAATAAATTTAACCCTTTCGCTACCATGCCCTGCACTCCACTTTTAAACTCAGGTGGCTGGATCTTTTTTTTAATTTTTCCAATGTTTTCTCATTTTCCCCTTACAGCTTTCAGAGTTTGAAAAAGACCCCCCAAACCATATATTTTCTGAAAGCACATCACCAATAGAATAAAAAAAAAGTGCTATTGATGTTTGGGGCCCCGGGCCGTGATACTTGCACAGATGTTTATAAAAACAACATTTTCTCTAAAAATACACTAAAATCATTATTAACAGATACACACACAGCACATTTTACAAAAAAAACCTACTAAATTTCCACTAATTATAACATATATAAAATTTTGCCTTTTTGCAAAATGTTGAAATTTGAACAAACATAAAACTGTAAATAATCAAATTTCTTTAAAAATCTGGAGGTTTTATTTTTTCCCTTACAGCTTACAGAGTTTATAAAAGAACCCCCAAACCATATATTTTCTGAAATCACATGACCAGTAAAAAAAAAATAAGGTGCTACTGATTTTTAAGGCCCTGTGATATTTACGTAAATGTTTATCAAAACAATATTTTCGCTTAAAATTCACTAAAATCAATATTTCCAGATACAAACACAGACATTTTTACAAAAACCCTACTAAATTGCTACTAAATATAAGGAGTTAACCTGTATTGAATTAATAAATAACAAATATATCTAAATTTTAAATTGTGCCTTTTTGCAAAATGGTGAAAATTGAACGTATGCAGAACTGTTAATAACCAAATTTATCTAAAAATCTGGAGGTTTTAATTTTTCACTTACAGCTTTCAGAGTTTATAAAAGACCCCCCAAACCACATATTTTCTGAAAGTATACGACCAGTAGAATGCAAAGAAGGTGCTACTGATTTTTAAGGCCCCGTGGTATTTGCGCAAATGTTTATCAAATCGCTATTTTCACTAAAAAACACTAAAATCCTTATTTGCATACATAAACACAGCACAACTTACAACATTCCTGCTAAATCCCTGCTAAGGCCTCGTTCACATGGGGTGTACTAAAGCATACACCCATGTAGCGCTATATGCAGTGCCTTTGTTTACCCACATGGGGATGCGCAGGTGTTCTTTGCATCCCTGTGCAGGCAATCCTGCTCATGTCAATTGGGATGCAGCGGCTGCAAGAACAGATGTGACATCAGTGCGGATGTAGATGCATGGACCCAAATGCAGACAGTGTGAGTTCAGAGACAGGCACACACATAGATGTCAAATTGGGAGCAGTGGCTGTGTCCATGCAGCCGCTGTGTCCCAATTGACATGAATAGGACTGCCTGCACAGGAATGCACGGAACATCAATTGAACTGCCTGAATGGGGATGCATGGAATACCTGTGCAGATAAACATGGCCTCCCTGTAGTATGCCATGCGTCAACTAGGCTTTAGACCTTGTTTACACTTGCAGTTGCGGGGGTAGCAAAAATGAGTGACCATGAGCAGAAGGAGAAATCAGGTCTGAACGGAGTACAGGCCTGGCCAGCTGGGAGCAGTTCTGTAGATCCGTATACTGTACAGACCTGGCAGCAAAAGGGTTAAATAAAATAAAAAGTAAAAAATAAAATTAATAAACTTTAAAGCACCCCTATCTCCCCATGCTTATGTACAAATGTAAATGCACATGTAGGTCCAGCACACATATGTAAACAGCCATTTTTTACGCCATACATGTGAGGTATGGCTACGAACATCAGAGTGAGATCAATAATTCTAGTACCAGAGCACACATTTAAAGCAGAGCTTCCCCCCAAAAGGTGAATTTACGCTTTAAGACTGCTCCCCTGCTCCCCATTAAGGATTGGCACCTTTGGGGGGTCGGGGGGGGAGCCGGTACCCGAATTTGACAGGTACCGGCTCCCAATTGCGGTCGGACTGCCTAGGCGATCGGAAACAGAAAGTGTCCTCCCTCCTTCCCTCCCCATAGTCTTCTGGGACACGTGACAGGTCCCAGAAGACTACAGGACCATTCATGAAGCGCAGCGCTACTCGCGCATGCGCAGTGGACACCCGGCTGTGAAGCCGCAAGCTATCACAGCCGGGTGTCCACACTGAAGATGCCGGCCTCCTGGAATACAGGACGGCCGGTGAAATGGGCTGCGGGGGGACACACCACGGACCAAACCAAGGGACAGGTAAGTGGCTGTTTTTTAAAATTCAGCAGCTACAGTTTTTGTAGATGCTGACTTTTATTTGTTGACAGGATGAATGGAACTCCGCTTTACCTCTAAACTGGAAACCTGTAAAGGCTTTCATTCATTGCTTCTGCATAATGTACAATAGTTTGATACCATTCCACAGGCATGCACGATTTTAAAATGCTTTAAAGCATGACTTGCTGGGAATCTATTTACTCAGTGTAAGATTATCTTTTGTAGTTCACCAAAAATTGGGTATTATATTGTTTTTGTGCACTAAAATTCATTAAAGTGTATTTTTGCCTGAAAATTGTGTGTTTGATAAATGGCTGCGCAAATATTATGCAACATAAAAAAAATTGAAACAAACACTTTTATTTTGCAGGGCATCCATAAAATGTTTAATATTTTGAGGTTTTAGGCAGTTTCCTAGCTAAACAAATTTCTGAATTTAACAGGTAATAGAGAAATGTCAGATGCTGAGAAGATTTTTTTTTCACATTTTTCACAATTTTTTCCTAACTGAAACCTAGAAAATAAAAATATATGTATCCAAATCTGCTATAATGTTAAATCCTTATCTGTCCCAAGAAAAACAATGTATATGTTGACCTAGACTACAAAACCTAAAAGGTGCACAACAGAGATATCACTGTAACAAAAGACGAAAGGAAAAAGGGAAAAAGAGGCTCAAGGGTGTTAGGCTTCATGTACAGGAGCAGCTGCTAAACTCGAGTTTAGGAGCTTTTGGCAGTTTTTTGCCAAAGCTCCTAAACTCAACTCCATAAACATCTATGTGTCCATGTACACATAGATTTTTAGCACAGTTTAGGAGCTGCCGCGTTTTAGGTGAGGTTAAACCTCCCTCTCAGGGTTCATGTATACGGGACATTTGGGAAAACTCTTCTGAATGATGGAAACTGACTGCTGGAAAACTACGTACGTTAAAAAATGTCTGTTTAGCAGCGTTTGCATACTGCGTTTATGCGCGTTTGCGTTTAGAAGCATTTTTTAAAGATGACATCAGGAGACCTTCCCAAATGCTCAGAATGCACTGAAAAACAGTAAAAAATTAACTATTTCAGACATTTTGAGAGAAATAGAGAGAGCAGAAGCAGAGAGAGCAGTATGTGTTGAGATTGCCTGTCTTTTCTGGTTGTATTCACTATGGATCCCATCATGAGCATAATGCAGCCCTTTCTGCCATTTTTTCCTTCACGTAAAACCTGGAACTGACTGCGCTGGTGTAACGGGTCCATTGAATACATGAAAAACACTTTGCATGCATTTCTGATGATGAAAAAAGAATCTGGACAGCATTTGGATATGGAACGGTTAAAAAAGGCTTCTAAATGCAAATGCTTATAAACGCTTTTACACTCGTTTACAAGCATTTGGTGTTTGAAACGCTGATAAAATCTACTCCTGAATGCAAGTTTGGTGCGTTCAAAAAAATGACTGTAAACTCAATTGCCTGTAGACTGTAAACGACGATGTGTACATGTACACATAGGAAAACATTAGGGTGAGTTCAGGGGCTGCTGAAAAAAAATGCAGAAAAGCTCCTGAATGTGAATTTATCAGCTGCAGTGTACATGAGCCCTCATGAACGTGGAAGAATCATGTTCAGGATAGGAACATTTTGACCGCTGACAACGGGAAAACGCAGAACACGGCAAAACCATGGCAAAACCACGGTACAGCGGTACCACAGTTGCTGCTTTTTGCTGTGGTTTGGCCCGCGATTTGTGTTTTCCCACAAGCAGAGGTCAGGGTAGGCTCATGTACATGGAATATTATAGACAAACAAGGATTTAGTGGTAAAATAGTGTTTTGTTTATACAGATCTGTTCATTATTGTTAAAAGTTTTACAAGGACACAAGTGATCTAACAAAGACGGTCAGTTGGGGGTTATGGTACTTTAACCACCTCCCGCCCACCATATAGTCCAATGGTGGGCGCAAGGTGGTTCTGTCGTTCTGGGAGGACATCATATGACGTCCTTCTATTCTCACCGTGCATGCGCAGCTCAGGGAGCACGCAGCGCGGTGATCGGCGGTGCGCTGTGTCCCTCGGACACAGCGGATCACCGATCACGGAAAGAGCCGAAGATGTCGGCTCGGTCATGTGATCAGCTGTGTCCAATCACAGCTGATCACATGTAAACACAGAAATGCCAGTTATCGGCATTTCTCTCCTCTCGAGCTGTCATGCTGACAGCTCGAGAGGAGAGGAGAGCTGGTAATTGGCTTTCCGCGGAGGGGACATGTACACTGATGATCAGGGCACTGATGATCAGTGTGCCCTGATGATCATTGTAGCCCCAGCAGTGCCACCTGTCAAAGTCCATCAGTGCCACCTGTCAGTGCCAATCAGTGCCACATATCAGTGCATACCAGTGCACATCAATGCCACATATCAGTGCATACCAGTGCACATCAATGCCACATATCAGTGCCCATCTGAGCTGCCTTTCAGTGTCATCCATTAGTGCCAGTCAGTGCCACCTATCAATGCCAATCAGTGCCACCTATCAGTGCTGCCAATCAGTGCCAGTCAGTGCCGCCTATCAGTGCCAGTCAGTGCCGCCTATCAGTGTGCATCAGTGCCACCTATCAGTGCCAGTCAGTGCCGCCTAACAGTGGCAGTCAGTGCCGCTTAACAGTGTCAGTCAGTGCCGCCTATCAGTGCCAGTCAGTGCCCGCCTAACAGTGCCATATATCAGTGCCATGCATCAGTGCTGCCTTTCAGTGCCCATCAGTGATGCCTGTCAATGCCCATCAGTGCCACCTACCAGTGCCTCCTCATCAGTGCCCATCAGTGCCACCTATCAGTGTCCATCAGTGCAGCCTATCAGTACCCATCACTGCAGCCTCATTAGCGCACATCAGTGAAGGAGAAATATCACTTATTTACAAAATTTTATAACAAAAACTAAGAAAAACATTTTTTTTTTTCAAAATTTTCAGTGGTTTTTGGTTTGTTTAAGAAAAAATAAAAACCCAGAGGTGATTAAATACCACCAAAAGAAAGCTCTATCTGTCATAAAAAAATGATAAAAATTTCATATGGGTACAGTGTTGCATGACTGCGCAAAGTGCGACAGCGCTGAAAGCTGGAAATTGGCCTGGGCAGGAAGGGGGTATAAGTGTGCTCTGTAGGCTAGTGGTTAAAGTGGTGTTCCAGCCATTTTTGTGTTTATTAAAAGTCAGCAGCTACAAAAACTGTAGATGCTGACTTTTAATAAACGCACACTGACCTGTCCCAGAGTCCAGCGATGTTCTCACCCACGCCGTCACTTCTCCCCTTCTCTCTTCCCCAGTGCAGGCATCTCTACTGTGGGCACTAGACTGTAACATCTTGCGGATTCACAGCCTTGTGCCCACTGCGCATGCGTGAGTTACACAGTGCTTTCTAATTGGTCCGGCATTCTTCTGGGACCTGTGAAAGTCCCCAGAAGACTGCGGGAGGGAGGAGGAGGCCGAACTTCTGGCTTACTTTGCTGTAAACCCTTTCCCCCAAAAGGTGCCAAATATGACAGTGGAGGGGGGCAAGAGGCACTTTTGAGTGGACCTCCTCTTTAAACATCCAATTGTGTACAAGAGAATTTAAAAAAAATATAGCTTCTTCCACCCATGACTGGATCATAAATGTGAACATATGGTCAGTTCGTCTTACCTTACACTACAATAAAATCAGCCTCAGGATCAATTCACTTAGCTTCACCATACTTCATTGAACTTCACTCATTAGTAAACAGGCCCTTTAAGGGAGATTTACTAAAACTGGTGTACTCAGAATCTGATGCAGCTGTGCATGGTAGCCAATCAGCTTCTAATCTCAGCTTGTTCAGTTTAGCTTTGGCAATACAATCTGGAGGCTGATTGGTTACTATGCACAGCTGCACCGGATTTTGCACTCTCTAGTTTTAGTATATAACCCCCTTTGGGCTCGTTCACACTTGACTTTATTTCTAACTCTTGCCAAATGTTCCTATAGCATTTGACAGGCATTAGAGAGGTGTTTGTGAAGCGATTTTAATGCTCCTCAAACGCTCCCAAAACGGCCTATGTGCAGTTTTGAGGTGGTTGCTAGGCATTTGCCAAGCATTAAAACCGCACCACAAACTCCTATAATGAGGTTTCAATGGTATTAACGCTCCGCAAATGCCTTGCAACCGCTCCACAAACGCCGGCCAGGCGTTTGCGGAGCGGCACCATAGACTTGAATAGGAGGCTTCAACTCCTCCTGACTGGACCAGAGGCGTCAGTTTTGCCATGATGCAATGCTAACGCTTCCATGTAAACAGCACTGTGTGCAGTCATGTGCAGAATTTTCAGGGGCGTTTGAGAAGCGTTAAAAACACCTGTCTGACGCCTGCTGACAAAGCTAGTGTGAACGTAGCCTTTGTGTCACATGGACATTGGAAACACAAACTCCTAAGCAATAGAGAGACCCATCTGCAGCTAGCAACAGATTAATCTATCTGCTACTAGTTAGTGAATATGCCTGCTCATACTTGGTATATTCCCTAAGTTAATTTCATATTCAGTAATGACTCTTAAAGTCATCACTGAACGCTGATCCTCACAAATTTGAGTCAGAAGATGTTATTAAATTCCTAGGATAATTCCTTCAGGAATATCACATAGAAATGAATGGATACAAGAAACCAATATTAAAGGAATACTTCTGTCAAGACAAAAATCACCTTTAAACATGTATAATATAAGCTGATGTACACGTTGTCATTTTTTATTTAATTTCTGAGCTTTAGAAATCCCTGTTTAGAGGTTTTAAAGTGGTTGTAAAGGCTAAAGGTTTTTACCTAAATGCATGAAGGTAGAAAAAACCTTCTGTGTGCTTCTCCCCGCACAGCCCCCCAATACTCACCTGAGCCCCCTCTCAATCTAGCGATGTGCATGGGAGCCTCAACTGTCTCAGGTCTCTCTCTCCTCATTGGCTTTAGCGCCTGATAGATAAATGCATGTACTATTTATTGGTATTGAGCACAGGGATCTCTTGTTTGTTGTATTGTTGGGTCAGTAGCCAGACCTAAACCTAGTAGCTCTCCCCCACTTTGTCTTTTCCCCTTTATTGGTATTGTGCCCACAGTAGCACTTGTGTAGGCAGGGCAGAGTAGGACTGGCCATAGAGGGATTACTTTGACACAGTTGGCCAGTTTAAACATGTATTGCAATATGTGTGAATTAAATATCCCTATTTATTGCATAGTCTGCTGGAAAGGGTATATACCAGTGTGCAGAGGGTCCTTCAAAATATTTAGTGTTAATATGTGGTTACACCCCTTTAGCACCTGATGGATAAATGCATGTACTAACTATTGGGATTTGAGCACAGGGATCTCTTGTTTGTTGTATTGTGGGTCAGTATGCAGACCTAAACATAGGAGCTCTCCCCCACTTTGTCTTTTCCCCTATATTGGCATTGTGTCCACAGCAGTATTTGCATAGGCAGAGCAGAGTAGGACTGGCCATGGAAGATTACTTTGATGCAGTTGGCCAGCTTAAACATGTATTGCAATATGTGTGAACTAAATATCCCTATTTTTTATTGCAAAGTCTGCTGGAAAGGGTATATATATCAGTGTGCAGAATTTCTAGTGTCTCATGTCTGTCTCTCCTCATTGGCTGAGACACAGGAACCATTGGATCCCACTGCTGTCAATCACAGCCACTAAGCCAATGAGGAGAGAACGGGGGCAGAACCAAGCTGCATCTCTATGTGTCTTATGGACACATAGAGCACGGCTTGGGAGTGAGCACACACTAGTGCCTTCGTAGCAAGTGGATTGCTATTTGGTGCACTTGTCAAGGGGGAGGAGCCAGGAGTACCAGCATGGGACTCAAGAAGAAGAGTATTGGGGCTACTCTATGCAAAACCACTGTACAGAGCAGTTAAGTATAACATGTTTGTCCTAAAAAAAAAAGCAAGCTTTTAATATCACTTTACGCTCTCCCAACGCCAACCCACCTATCCTTTACAGCTAAGGAACCTGCCATCTTAGCCACTGTTTGATCTGCAATTACCATGGTGCTGCACATGTGATCAGTTATGACACCATCCATTTGATGGCTTGACAGTTTGACTGACAGAAATAGCAACTTGACAGTTATCATCCACAGCATGCCATTAACCACTTCCTGTTTGGACACTTTTACCCCCTTCCTGTCCAGGGCAATTTTCAGCTTTCAGTACTATCACACTTTGAATGACAATTGCGCGGTCATGCTACACTGTACCCATATGAATTTTTTAGCATTTTTTTTGAGAGAGATAAAGCTTTATTTTGGTGGTATTTATTCACCACTTGGATTTTTATTTTTTTTGCTATGTAAATGAAAAAGTCCAAACATTTTGAAAAAAAAGTGTTTTTCTTATAAAATCTTGCAAATAAATAATATTTCATCATAAATCTTGGCCAAAATGTATTCCTTTATCTTTTTAGTGAAAAAAAAAAATAAGCCAAATTAGTTTTAAATAATAATTTTTAAACTTTTTTTTTCATTTTTATTTTATTTTTTTATATTATTATTTATGTTTTTTTTTTTTCATACTGTCACCCTAGCAGTACAGTGTCACCATGGTGACACTGTACTACTTGTGGGGGGTGATGAAGATTTTTTTTTTTTTCTACACTGCTTTTACACCCATATAGGATGTAAAAGCAATAATTTCTCTTTCTCTCTGTCTGTATTCTTGCAGCCATTGAGAACTACTAAGTGAGCTGTGATTGGTCACAGCTTGTCACATGGTACAAGGCTGTTGTGAATAGCCTTGTACCATGTGATCATTCACAGATTTCACACTTAGTAAGCAATGATGTCACAAGTGATATCTTGCTTACTACTTTGCATGTGATGGCCATCTGATTGGATCACATGATCGGGACTCGTATAGAGGTCCCGTCCAGCGATCGGTATTATACTGTGTCCGGAGGACACAGCGGGCACCGGATCGCGCTGCTGCACGCTGCCAGGGAGCACGCACAAGCAGGGTGCGGGGAGGCCATTTATAAATGGCCACCCGACCCTGCAGTGCCACCGTCCGGCCGTTTATATACGACAGCCGGACGAGAAATGATTAATGTACTATAACTGTTTTGGGGAAAAAATTAAATCAATGGGTTTAGTTCCGCTCTAAAGTTTATGTGGACCTACTTCTTGTTAGGATTTCATAGTCTGCAATGGCAAGTCCAGAAAACTTAAAGCAGAACTAAACCCATTAACTTAATGGTTTCAAAACACAGTTACATTCCAGACATGCCGGAATGCTAACTGTTACATTTGCTTGTGTCCTCCTCAAACTGTCAAACCATCAAATGGCTGTTGTCATAACTGATCACATGTGCTGCACAATGAAGGCTGCCGATCAGAGGCTAAGATGGCAGCTTCCTTGGCTGAAAAGGATAGGAGGGTTTAGTTCTGCTTTAATAAAGACTTAACCATATTATCACAAGCAAGTTTTTGTAG